TCTTCTTCTTCTTCTTCTTCTTCTTCTTCTTCTTCTTCTTCTTCTTCCTCCTCCTCCTCCTCCTCCTCCTCCTCCTCCTCCTCCTCCTCCTCCTCCTTCTTTTTCTTTCATATCCATCATTGGACATTGGCAATCATGTTGGTGAACCTATTTTTATCAATAGCTGCATGAAAGAGTACTGCTGAGTTTTGTCCAAACCAGTTCCTTAGATTTTGAAGCTTGGAGGAGGTTGTACATGGCTCCCAGCATTATATCGCCCTTCCATCAGACTTACTGAAATATGTTGTGTGAACTGCAAGGTTATAGCACTGTAGCTGTAAGGAGAAACAGATTCCTATCATTAAAGAGAAATATTCACCATTTTCTCTTAGTCTAAGAAAAAGCCACTCAGCCATGGCAGGCACCGGCTTTTATAGTTGGTGCTGTCCAAAGCTTCAGCCACTGACAGGACTTTGTTTTTCCTACCAGTGGCTAGGCCAATGAGTGGAGTCTATTAGATGACTCCACCCCTTGGCCATATTTGGTCATATACAACACCCCTCCCCTCCTAGTTAGTGTTCCTCCAATCAGCTTACTTACACGTATGTAATCGTGTAAGTAGGCAGGGTTTCAAGACGTGCGACTGGACCTGCGCACTTCACTTGTTCCTGGAGCAGTGGCCCGAGCAGATGGGTCTGCTGCTTCTCTGGTCCCTGCTAGTGGAATCATCTCAAAGCTTGTTACTGGCACAGCAGGGACCATGGAGGCCTCAGAAGGACTCTGCGGGACTTCCTCTTCACAAGATAAGTGTCTCTGTTGTTGTTGTTTGGGGGTTTGTGCCTGCAGGGTTGGTGTTTGTGGCCTGTTGTTCGATTGTTGCATGTTGGGTGATTGGCCAGTTGTCTGTGCTCAGGACCCAGCCCCGTAGCTGATCAATGTGTCACTCCCATAGTTTCCCTTCATCTGTCTCTACTCTGTAGGACCATGGCCCTGTGTTTTCTATGACCCTCACTGGCACCCACATTGGTCCCCCAGTGTAACTGTGTGTGTAGACCGGGTCCCCTATTGTGAATTGTCTGCATTTCCCTGTGGAGT